AGCCTTTATTCAGCTAAGTGGGGTCGGCTACATGAATCCATTTTCTTCATTGCATCCTATTAAGTGTCATATTAGTGTCATATTTTCATTTAATTCTAATAGATTAAGGTCATTTTTTATACAATAAGCCTAAGTCTTTTTAGATCTACCTCTACCTTTCTTAACATAAGTCGGATCTAAAACATCTACTCTCCTAATTGGATCATCAGATGGTTGTTTAATGTAACCAAACCATCAAAGACAACTCTCTCTAGTCTTGTTCGCCGCTGGAGTTACACCCACCTTATCATGGATATATTCATTGTGCATTTTGTCTAAGTGTCGAGTCATTCATCCACCTAAGAATTCTCATCTCAGCAACACATAAATTTGTTTTATGCTTCTCTTTTAAAGGCCAACATTCTGCGCCATAAAGCATTGCAGACATCTTATAAAATTTTCCTTTTAAGTCCAAGCGATACATTTATATCACAAAATAGGCCCGATAAATTCATTCTCCACTTTAACCAACCAACTTGAATTCTGCTAATAGCATCCCCATCTATATCACCATAACATTGAATAACAGACTCGAGATATCTAAACTGTTCACACCTCTTAATGATTTGATTACCCATGGTTACAACTTTTCCACTAGAACTACTACAACTAAAATTACATTGCAAGTAATTAGATTTAGATCTACTCAAACGAAGGCTTTTAGACTCCAATCAAGGCCTCCATAATTCAAGTTTTTCTTGAACAAGATCCATAAGAAGAATATCATCAGCAAAAAGCAAACACCAAGGTACATCCTCCAGTAAATGTTTAATAAGAGCATCCATAACTAAAGCAAAAAGATATGACTTTAAAGCTGATCCCTGATGTAATCCAACTGAAATAGAAAAATACTTGGTCAATCCTCCTGTTCGAACACTAATAATAGCTCTAGCATACATATCTTTAATGACTTGAATATAAGTCATATCAACAAATCTTGATACAATTCTCAAATTAAAAACTTTCAAAAACAAATTAATGATCATCTGTATGCAGAATTCAAAACGTCTATATGATACAAACCTAACATCACTGAAAACAGTCAAATCTAAAGTCCAAATGAATTTAAATCAATCACTTAAAGTATAATTAGAAACTTCAAAACATTAATTGAAAGGCTAAATCCATTGAATTTCATATGCTTATAGTCGACATTGAATCAAGCGCGACTCGATAAGAGAAAACTACTGAGCCTAAGACCAATCAATTTTGTGATCATTGGGAAACTTAAATGCTAAAAAAATAATCTATAATCAAAGTATTTGACATGGACAGTCAGATAATGTTTTTTTTTGAAATTTCAACTAAACTTATCTAAATGCTCCTACTATAATTCTATAAAGAGGATCACATTTTCATCACAAGGGGAAAAGCTAAAAGACACACATACCCTTGGAGAAAATTTAAAGTCAAAGAATACCAGCAATTGTCGTTGATTACCACTAACTGTTGTTTTAATCAAGCTATGGGCATCAAGGGCGGAACCAGCCTCCTTTTCGAACGGGGTGGGGGGAGGGGTAAATTGTCCCCCTAGACCCAACATGGAAGGGACAAGGGAAACTAAGGGCAAAGTAATATTTTAGGAGGGGCAAAAGGCCAAATTACACTTTCGTATTAGTAAAAATTAGAATTAGAGAGGGGGCTACCTGAGTCCACCCCTGATGGGCATAGGACCATTTTAGCCCAGTTATTATCTCAGATCAATTGTTATTTAATCATTGTAACATGATTAATATATCTGTGACACAACCCATTCCAAGAGCTTGAAATTTTTAGTGCAAGAATAAACAGTCATGCGGTAGAGATACATAATATATACATGACAATATAAAATAACATCCAATATTCAAAGAGCCATTAAATCATAAACTCTGTAAAACATCAACTAAATCAAACATATAAGTACATCTTGTGTGAAACAATACAAATACAAAAAAAAAACTAAACATAGAGATAATATTCTCTGATACATATTTTCATATGATCCTTTTTTCAATAAATATATTCTTAATTTAATTGAGTTTTCTTCATAAAGAAACATTTAAAAAATAAAATAAGTTTAACTTTCTGACTGATTATAGTTCTACATTGTATTAATTATTATGCATAGCAGTAAAACATGTGCAATTTAACAAGATTAAACAATGCTATTTAATTTTTTATTAAGGCTTTCACATGTTCATATTTATACTTCTTTATTTAGAAATCTTTATAATTTTTGCATTTACATTGCATTTAACAAGTTACTAAAGAGAACCGTCAAAAATTTATATAGACTAATGTACAATATTTTTTTTTCGTGCACAGGTATAATTGTATCCCACAGTTAGTATCATAAAAGGATGACTCATTAAATAACATGATTATTTATTTTGTCAGATAATCGTCATATTTCTTTCAATCCTTTACATATATTCTAAACCTTTAAAGTGATTACAGTATTTCAGATATTTTTAACATGATTTATAAAGTTTGTGCAACTTATAATGAAATTGATATTTAATTAATTTCTATCAATTACTTCCATGAACTAAACCCTTTAAATATGATCTTAATTGAAATTATATGAATTAATTAATGCATATAATTTAAACTATGATTAATACAAAGTGGGAATGTAATTACTCACTTGATCATTTTGATGATTTTCATCACCCTTAACATTTAGTTTCCTCCTCTATTTAGTACATAAAATAATTTTTTTCCTTGCTCCTTCCTCAATCAACTCTCTCAATTATATTGTTCTCCACCAATAAAAGCTGACAATTTCTCACTTGGTTCAGCTCTTGGACTGTTCATCTACTTTGTGAGTCACATGCGAACACACGTCCTACACGAGTCTCCAACCCCACAAGCTGCATCAATCTCCTCCTCACAGGTGACAAGCTCGTACGCAGCATCCTGGATGCTAGTTCATGAGTCTTCTCTCTCGAGCTTGATTTCGGCATGGTCACCTCGGCTCATCACCCACAGGTAAATCCTCCCCCATAGTTGACTTCGATCTCCCTCACATTACTCTGTCTCTCTCTCTCTCTCTCTCTCTCTCTATATATATATATATATATATATATATATCCCCCCTCTCTCTATTTTGTATGCGATAAAATTACTCGTTCAAACAGTTATGTTCGAAACCTTCTCCACTTCCTCTTCCATCTCCTAATTAGTGTAGCCTCCTTGTCGATTATTTTGAACCAACACAACTGCTTCTCAACATTATTTTTATTATTATTATTTTAATTTTTCAGTTATTACAATGTGTTTATCAACTCAGGTTATAAAAACAAAATGACAGGCAATTACTCATATTTTTGTAACCCCGTCTTCTTTAATTATATAGAATAATGAAACATTGTAATTTCAAATACATGGTGGATGAATATGATTGGGTCAAGCCCTATGGCCAACAAAAACTAGACAAAAAGAAAATAAAAACATGTTGAAATATTATTTGTGGGATTCCCGCCTCATTAGAAGGAATGTACCATAAAATTCTTGTAGTGCTCTATTTTCTCTAGATCTTCCATGATTTTTAATATTCAAGAAATGCCAAAAACATTTTTTTAACTTCCCCTTCTCCTTCAATAAGCCACAAATGGGCCTCTTAAACACATTACAAGATTCATCATAGAATATGTATTTAGCATTGTGAAATGGCATATAGCACACTCAATGGCCCGACAATTCATCAATACTGAAGAGTATCAACTATCATTCTATGAATGTCGGTCCTCTGCCTTAGGGCTACAAATCAAGACGATTGAGCAAAGCTCAAGCATGTTTCAGAATAGCAAGCTGAAATAGGAAAGGAATTCAAGAAAGGCATGACTCTCAATTGCGCTAAATCTCATGCATGGTGCCCACCTATGAAGTGTTCACGTAACTATGGTTTTGTTTGCCTTGCTCAAACACTTAGGCAAGTGCCCATCTCACCATTAACACAATTTTGGATTATATTAGTTGTACAATACATGTGGAGTCATAATCTTAATAATGATTTTCTTACTCTATGTTTCTCTGTTTTTTGTTCTTAAAATTCAATATAGTATTGTAGGCTATATTAAGGGCATAATACACAAAGCATACATGCTTTTTACAACAAAACTATAAAGTAGTTCATGACATCTAATGTAAATTATATTTAAGTCCAACCCGCAAGAGAATAACTTTAAATTTCTAATTATCAAACATTATTTTCACTTAAGAATACTAATTTAGCAATATTTGAGATATGCTAAGATGATAGCAATGACAACGATTTTTATCATAATCAGAAAATTCAAAGTTTAGCCTCTAAATTAAAGTAAACTTAAACATCAAACAATCCCATTAATTAAGCTAGTATTATCTAAGAAGTAGAGACTTATTTTTCATGCCTACTTTATCTAAAATCCATAAGCTTTCTCACATTCATTATTAAAAGCCCATATTCAGCACTTAACAAGAAAATCAAAACATCAAAAGGACAAAATCGATGTCTAGAACAGCATATGCCCGATGCTTTTTAGAAATAAATAGTGAGGTAAGAATTTCAGAACATTTGGGCATGTCTATTGCCACGCATATCCAATCCTGTCACGTCTCTGATCATGTACACAGTTTGCTGCTCAGTGATCTAACTTTACCACATTAAGCTCACTCCAGAAATAAACCATCAATAATAAAGGAGGAACAAAAATCCATCCCCTTTCAAATCTCCCCCAATTTAACAAAAACTGAAACAAAGCAAGTAAGCCACCCCCTAGGGAGGAAAATTAACTTCGCCAAACACTAGAAGCCAACAACCTAATAGCTTAATTTTAAATTATGTAGTCAAGAAATGAAATTTCCAATCAAAAAAAAGGTTAAAAAGAACCTTTCATCCAGCCAGCTGCAGTGCATAGAGACCTCCCACAAACAAAGCAATTTGAAGAAGCTAACACACGGAAACAAGTACGACATAAGAGAGGTGGAAAGCTCACCAGATCGGAGATAGATGACCGCCCCGAGGCAAAGCTCTTGAGCCGCCGCATCATATGCATTATGTACCAACAAAAGCTCAAACTCAAAAAAACCCTAAGCCGTCGTCCGATTCCCACCCCACTCTCCTTCTCAGAACTGCACCAAGCTCCGGTCGAGCGGATACCGAAAACGAAGGAGATTTGACGCAACAGCTCCCTCTCCCTCTCCCTCTCCCTCTCCCTCTCCCTCCCACACTCCCTCTTCAAGCGAGAAAGCTAGACTTTTGGTCTTCAACCGCACCTCGCTAGGAAGAAAAATCTTGGTACTAGTGGCACAACAAAAAATGTTTCAGTAATGATTTGGTGCCGTGTAATTGCATTAAAACGTGTGCAGTCAAGAAGCACGGATTTTAAAGTAAGTGTGGGCTTCGCCAGTTTGATTCGCCCGTCCATCGCTTCTGGAGCCAATCACATGCATGTCTTTCTGCTAGTAACTTTTTGGTTTCATTTCAGCCGTCGATCATCCGACAGTAAGATCGGACGGTGACCATTGGTCCGACTTTGAATATTTGGAAAGAATCCGAATTCGGATTGAACGGCTAGATTCGACTACACGATTGAAAGCCCCTTTCAATTGCTTTTGCTGCCAACTAATTTGATAAATTTTGCGCTGCATGTTGGGGAAAATTTGATGCTTTTCAAAACAGTATAGGTAAACTCCTGGCCCATCAAAATATCAAATTGTTTGGCTAGAGGCTTATTTATTCTTATAGATGATATCTCATCATGAAATTTTATGATTATGCACGAATCTTAAGAATTTTGTAATGAATATTCAAGTAAAAATCAGCCACAGTTTTGATTTTAGTAAACTTATAGTCAAATACAAGACTATCCCAATGATATTAAAATTGGCCCAATCTAAATCTGATCAAACATGGATCAACTAATAAAAAACTGTTGCGGGAAAACCATGTCTGGAATTGGTCTATATCAAAATTAGTCCAACTTATTAAAAAGCTAATGCGCAAAAGCTAATGCGGGGAAACTGTATGTTTGTTTGTTTTGTGTGGTAGTGCATTAGTTGTTTATGATAAAAAGACTTGTATGTCTTTGTATTGTTGTGGCTTTTATAATAGAATAAGTCCTGATTGAATAACTCGTACATGAAAACAGAAATTAGATTCAGCATCTATAAAAACTCGTAAGTTCAAATATTTTAATTAAAAAGTGATATCTCACTAAACATTGAGTAACACAAGAAGCAAAAGAAAAAAATATTGAAAAAACAATTAATATTATCATGATAATGAATTTGAAATGCAGACGATCAATTTCATGAGATAATTCTTTTATAAAGAAACTCTCCCCCTGATAAATATATGAGGTGAAATCGTCGAACTAATACGTCCACCTGAAAAAGTCACAGACCTCTTCTGATCTATTTCATGGACACTCGCAAAATTTTTTCCCATAGCTATGCTCTTGTTATGAAGTATGCAGAGAACACTACAGTCCACAGTAGCAGTAAAAAACTCTATATGCACCAGAGGAGCTCAAACTCAAATTTTTTGAAGGTTTAAAACCACAAATCACAAATAGTTATATGCAACTTTAGCTAATAAGAATAATAGAAAAACACAACTGAAATTTTATAAAGCTATGAGATCTCATAGCAAAGGAATATTTTTTATTAATAATTTGTCACTACAATAAGACAGAAAGAGGATTTGGTTGCTTTGAGCTGTGTAATATTGAGTTTGTATGTTCACTCAAAGGACATCCACAAGAATCCCAACAATCATATGACTGAAAAAGAGGAAATATTCGTTGTCTTGATGGTGATTTCATACATGTCAAAACTCATAGTAACATATAGGCCATCGAGAAAAACCCTAAGGTCATATATCTCATCACATACCTTCAAACCTAAATTAAAATATGCAATATATATATATATATATATATATAAATATATTAAACCTAAGGTTACCTAGGAGGTCATTCAGGTTAAAAATTATACATGTAAAATGACTGAAAAAAAAATTTGCACCAAATTAAGATTTTACATGAACCTTATTGCATAAAATGTCATTACAATAAACATTAAATATTTACACAAAAACATTTTACATAAAGAAATCAAAAGTAACATACAACATTATTTCACTCTCTAACTATTACATCAATAATTTGTTCTCTTAAATCCATCATCTCTCTAGCACTTTCCCCATCCTTAGTACAATACTCAGGTAAGTCGCTTTCAGCTTGTGATATAGATTGTCTTAGGCAATATTCATATGTTTCAATAGAAACATGTAAATGATCTTCATCTAACTTACTAAAATCAATGTCACTACGTGAAGGATGCCGACAAATGTAGTTGTAGAGAGTTATTGCAGCGATCACAATCTTCACTTATTTGTTGAAAGGATATGTGGACATATCTCATAGAATAATCTTTTTTTTTTTACAAACCCCTATTTTCCTCTCAGTATCACTTCTAACAATAACATTATGTAAGGATGAATACCTCTTGTTAAACATCTTCTTTCTCCAAGCTATATTGTTAGCTCGTTCAACATCAAGAATGTGATATTTTGTATCAAGAGAGGGTTCAAGATACCATCTTTGTAATGAATATCCAACATCAACCAAATAATATTTTACTATAGTATAATCATTATTATTGTACTAAAACTTATATTTCAATTATTTATGTTCAAGCTAACTTGGAAGCAGCTTTAGAAAGCTATATTTATGAGCTCGCACGATAAATATGAATATACGACTATCGTGTGTACTGTCTTACCATCTAAGCATTACAAAAGTGAAATACATATTAAAATCACATACAACCATAGCATTCTATTGGTGAACCACATGTGGAATTTAGAATCTTTCTACATATGTTACATCACCAACACAATTTTAAATGATTTATCTAAGGGATTAGAGTTACTACAAATAAGTAAATTTTGAAAATGATGAACACATGAATCTACCTTAAAATATGGCATATAACATTGATCTTGTGAAATCTCTGTGGGGGTGTTTTAGAATGTAGGATTTTTTGGAGTAATAACTTTTGATAATTAGTTGATCAAAGAATTCAAACTAACTGAAATATATCTATAGATTGTTTGTGATGAGTGTTGGAATCGCTCCATGGCTCCTCTTATAAACTTGTTTTGTGATAAAATATAAGGGGTTATGGCTAACAATTCTCTTAAAGCCAGCTTAGAGTAATCATGGAGTCCTTAATTTTTGTTCAATTCTTCAAATAGATCAAAAAATACGACTTGTGTCATGTGAAACATGCTATTAAGTCATGTTGGGTGAAGCACAAGCAACTCCCCAACCCATTTGTTCCCTAATTACATGAATGTCATGCAAGGAGTAAGAGCAATATGTGAGTTGTTATACTTATACATTAAGTATAATGCGACTGTAACTTTTTTTTGTTCCTTTCTCCATCCATGTTATTCGTTATTGATGTAGTTAAGACATAAAAATAACACTAAATTAGTAAGTAGTGCGTTAAACAAAAACCATAAAAATGAAAATTCCTAAAGTAATGAAAGATTATTTTTTTGATACATAAAAAATGTCCCCCTATCAATCAAACCAAAAGATGTCCAATAAAAAATTGAAAATATCACGATTGTCATTTAAGTAACATAAATAATTAACCCTACAATTAGGTGTCTTCAACATAAAGAACTCTCTTCTATTTGGGCCTTCTAACAACTTCATTGAAAATAAGTAAAATGACATGTCTTCATAAAATTTTGGAGTTTCTTCCTAAATTCTCATAACATGTTGAATAGATGTTGCATGTGATATATTAGACTTATTGACGCATGAAGCAATTAATTGTGAAATCTGACTTTTAATGAAAACTACATCATTCTTTTTTTTTTCTCAACTCTAGGAATTTTGAATGGACAAGTAGATCCAACTTCATATAGGCTAGGGTTATACCCTTTTTTTGAGTCAGAAAACTACATCATTCTCTCGCTTGGTGCCTATGCATGATTACCTGTGACCACGACTCCACCAAACATACAGTCTAACTTTTCTTCAGGCTCATACTTGAACTTTTTGGCAGTTGGCATAATCTACAAATTAATTAGTAATTGATATGTTGATGTAATTGAAATTGACATAAAAATAATGGAAGGTACTAGATGATTCATAAATTTTTACCTCCAATTTCTCAACCCACTATTTTTTCGAAGCATCGATGATTTACATTGTGGATCCCAACCCAAGCCCATGGATCCTTGCTTTAATTTTTTCCATATTTTACAATCCTTTTTTAATTTATTCCATTTATTTTTAAATTGCATTCTATTATAATCTCTTCATTTGTTTTCCTTTAATTTTTATAATATTTCATCATCCTTCCTTGTTAAAAAAGGTGGTTGGTCTATTTTCGAATTTCAACTCCTTTAGGCATAGATCGTAAAAATATTAGCTTCACATCGTTATCTCACATGGTAGACAAACTGATTTATTTTGTCTTACCCATCACGACTATGTTGACCTCATTTTTGGTTGAGGTCTAGTTTTTCCTCTTTAGTAGTCTAGGGTCTAGCCATAAGACTTTCCTGTTGACTATTCCTAGAGGATTAGAAAATGAACCCTCACCATTAGAAACTCTAAACCCTTCTTTACTCAACTTGAAGTTCCATATATTGGTCCTAACCTCTATCACTTAGTAGGTGGGGTCAGTATGGAAGAGCTTAAGGAGAGTCCCCAATAGGATGGTCAGGCCTTAGGACTAACCCTAGGTGATCTAGTTTTGATGGGGCTAACTTGCACACACTACACTTTTTCACTTACCCCAGGCCCTATGACCCCTTAATTTGGTCTCCCGACTCCTTTTGGAAAGCTCATATGGATGAACCTATACCCCTAGTCTTTGGCTAAGAGAGTTATAACCAGTATATTGAGCATCCAAAATGAGTTCTCACATTTCTCCTATTGGTTTGGCATGGCTTCATGGCTTACTTGCCCATTCTAGCCCAAAATCACCAAATACCAAAATACCCTACAATCCTGATTTTTGCCAAAAATCCCAAAATTACCCAAATTTGCCCAAAAATCATCTCAAACCACTCGTCACTACCTAAATTGAGCAAAATCCACCGAAATCGCCAAATTTCCAAAATACACAAAAAAATTGCCCAAAATTACCAAAATGCCCCTCATGACCCAAAAATTCTCAAAAATTCAAAAATCATTCCAAATATTCCCAATTTCATTTTTTGATCAACAAATTGACCCAATTTGACCAAATTAGTCCAATTTAACCAAAAGCCCCAATTTGCTC